CACCCGTCCTCGGCCTGCCGCATACAACTCCATAAAGTCATCATGGTCCTGGCAGGCTTCTCCGTCCCCCACCAACGCGTGCAACCGCCCACTCCACCGACCCACCTCCCGAGCAGCCTTGACCAGGCCACGCCAGAGGTGGTACTCACTCTCCTCCACTCCGTGGAGGGCGGCACCACGCTTCGCGAATTCATCGGCGGCATCGTTGCCACGCTTCTCCCAAAGAGTGGTGCGATCATTCTGCACATCTACCATGCTGCATTGGGCCTTCGTCTTGTGGGCCGTGAAATCATTCGGCTCAAACGCCGCCTAGAAAGGAGCCCACATGTGGGCTCGGGGATTCTCGGCTCCCGAACCCGCGCCAGGGCCCGCCCACAGCGTCGACACCGTGCCTTTACAATCTATGTAGAGACCGACGGGCGGCATCGCAACTTGGGCCAACATTCGCACCGCAAAGTCTTCCGCTTCCCTCGACGACTGGAAAGGGGCCTGGTCCTGCGGCACAGGCCCATAAGCCGCCGCCAGAACCTGGCCAAACCTGTCGCAACTGACGACTGACCAGCCAGCCCTGGAAAGTGTCTTGGCACCCAGAAAAAGCGCGGACCCGTCCAGGAACAGAAGGCCGGACATGTAACCCGACGCGGGCCGCTGAAACCAGTGGATCGTTTGCTGGTCAGGCCTATACTCGGGAACCTCGAACACAGGGCGGGGATCAGGGAAAACGCCCTTAACAAAGAGTTCACCCGCTTCAAAGCTCCAAGCCTTCACCCTCTGGGCCCGCCTCTGCAAGCTGGGGGAAACATGTTCCCGCCGCAGAGCGGCGTGGGCATCGCGCTCGAAACGCCTGTGCCGCAGCGAGCCGTCTGGGCGCCCACACGCTGTGCACGCCCCTACGCTGCGAACCCCTATTTGTGCGAGCGGGCCTGGGACCACTACGCCCCCGGGACCAGGGCCCTCAAGGCCCGCTGCTGGCGCGAGGTCCAGCTCCGCGAAGTCCTGTGGAGCAGGGGTTCCAGGCTACACCAAAAAATCGGAAGCGTCCAGGGGCAAGAACAAGTCTGGAGCGAGAGCCAGTCAGACTCGCGCCCCACTCCTTCCTCGACCAGTCTGCGCACCGCCGCTTGGCTCAGCCTGACTAGGTTCAACGCGGAGCCCCCGTCAGTCGTCAACATCGTGGCCGAGGGGACGCCCCAGCCGATGGCCCCAACCATCAAGAGATAGACGTCTGCTGGCGACGCTGCTGCTACCCGAGGCCGTCTGGGCTCCGAGCGCCTGGCACGGGCCAACTCCAGGGTCTTGTTAATGATCTGGGGCTTGGGGCTACCTTCCCAGCACGCCGTGCCCCATTGGGCTACAACCTGGCCCAGAGCGATAACCCATGGATCAACAACTCGACGACCGTCCCGATACGCATGCATCCTGAGCCCAATCGAGCCGCCCCGAGGGTATCTGCCGAGACCCTTACAGGCTGCAACCCCCAGCTGGTGCAACTCCGCGGGCGGGACCCCCGCCACGCATGCCCCCCGCAGAGCGGAAGCCGTCGGGCCCCCTCGCTGGATCCACTTGATGTCCGCACCCGCTTCGCGCAGGTTGCCCAGGCGCCTCGAAGACCGTGTGACATTCTTCCAGCGCCCCCTGGTGATGCCTACTCTACGCAGCGCCCCGAGGTTCGCATCCGTGCCGAGTTTCGTGCTGTGTCGACTACCTGAGGCTGGGAGGGACCACCGTCTCTCAAGGGCGCTCGCCAGTTCCGAGCCGCTGGCCAAGTATGTCCACTTCGACAAGTGCACTGGGAGCTCGAGCTCGCCGGGCAAAAAAAAGCAAAGGGTGTGCTCCACCGCCGCGGGCAGCTGGTCCGACACCAGCTGGCGGGGGCCGCGGCAATGCAAAGTCACGTCGTCGACTACGTTGCGCACCTGCACTTGAGGCCTGCCGTGGGCCACCGAGGAGAGGGGGCCGACCAGAAGGAGCTTCGCTAACGTCGTGGCTGCCGAACACCCCGCTACGATAGCCCCCGTAGCCTGCAGGAACTCCGAGACCGCCCCATCATACACCAATGTCCTGAACCCAGAGTACATTGTCACCAGGCCCCTGAGAAGCTCCAAGTTGAATTCGATCTGCCTGGCGGCCACAAAAAAGATCGGCATGTCGCACATGCTCATAGAACTTCTTGGGATCAAGCAATACAGTCGCGCTGTCCGTGCCGATCCCTCTGCAAAACGCGCCTAGCAAGTTGCGGGTCCACCCAGCCCTCGCGCGCGTCGTCGTGGGCCCGCGTCCCCAGAGACACTCCATGTTGTGAGCCCTCTCCCACTCCCTACACAAGGGTTGTCTGAGCTTGCTCCGGAGTTTCATAAACAGGCACGGAAGCCCGATGGGCCGAGCCCCTCCATCAGGTCTCGGAATTTACAAATATTGGTAACCGGCTCAATCATCCAAGACGGGCGATCCTCGAAGGCCTCGATAATCCTCAGGACCCTGACCTGGTACACTAGGGGCAGCTGCAGAATCAGCTTCGGGTGGAACTGGTCCCAGCCGAGCCCTGCACCTCCAGAGTGAGACCTACAGCAGTCCTGAAACGCCTCCAACGATATCGGGGGAAGCTGGCTGTCGCCTATGTCCCACGAAGCAGGGTCCATCGCTTCGCGCCCAGGCGGCGCCCACATCGGCAGCCACTCAGCATTTCCGTTCACAGGGGGGCCCGAGGGATCCAGGACGCTGGATGGGGAAGTGTGTCTCTTCTTGGCATAGGCGTGCGCAGCCTTCCCCCCTTTCGACGCCGCTTTCTTAGCCCAGGTCCTCCACTTGCGTCCACGCTCGCGCGCATCCACGCGCTGCAAAAAAAGAGAGACGAAGCAGGCCAGCTCCGTCCGCAGCTCGTCGTCTGGCTGCGACACGCCCTCGCCGATCTGACCGATCAAGGCACGCAACTGCTGCTCGCGCATGCGCTCCACGCCCTCCTGCTGCTTCTGCGGGGCTGGGGGGGGGGGGGGGGGTCCTCGGCACGCACGGTGCCTGTCATGCCCAGAAGTGCGCTGGCCCAGCGCGAGGCCGCCCCCCAGCCCCGACGTCCAAGAGCTCCAGCAGACAGCTTCGAGCCCCTGAGGGCCAAGCTCTGAAAAGCCATCCAGCACGTAGTAGACGGGCTGAACCTCCGACGAGCCTCTCGACCCCAAAGGGTTTGCAGGGGCGCCACCGACGCCTGAGGACCCAACCCGCGGCCCATGCACGAGCCACGCTGCCCATCGGGAACGTCGTGAAAGACCCCCAGCCAGGCCTCGGAATTAGTGAACCATTCCCGAACAGCTCCAGGAACATCAGCAGGGACCTCGTCGGGCCCAAAACTCCAGTCGGCCGACCTCGGGGCCAAGTGCGGGCCAATGCAAGGGGCCACGGGGAACTTCTTGAACGTCTTCGGCTTCCTGAACGAGGCCGCCCCCAAGAGATCCTTGAAGACCGCGATCACTGGCACGCGCGGCGACGACGGGGCCGAACTTCGAGCGGCCGCTGATCGGCTTCTCGCTGAGGGATTTTTTTTATTTTTTTTTTTTTTTTTTTTGTTTTTTTTTTTTTTTTTTTTTGTTTTTTTTTTTTTCTTTTTTTTTTTTTGTTTTTTTTTTTTTGTCTTTTTTTTTTTTTTTTTTTTTTTTTTTTTTTTTGTTTTTTTTTGTGTTTTTCTTTTGTTTTTTTTTTTTTTTTTTTTTTTTTTTTTTTTTTTTTTTTTTTTTTTTTTTTTTTTTTTTTTTGTTTTTTTTTCTTTTTTTTTTTTTTTTTTTTTTTTTTTTTTTTTTTTTTTATTTTTTTATTTTTTTTTTTTTTTTTTTTTTTTTTTTTTTTTTCTTTTTTTTTTTTTTTTTTTTTTTTTTTTTTTTTTTTTGTTTTTTTTTTTTAAGCCCTACGAAGAAGTCGATCACTCTCGACCGTGACCCACTTCTCTGTCCCGTCCTCCATTTTTATTTTTCTTTTCTTTTTTTTTTGTTCTCCCACCCTTGTGCCTAGTGACGCGCGTGGGCGCGCTCGGCTGGAAGATAGCACCTACGACCGCGTTGAGCCACCCCCGCTTGGACAGCTCAGCTGGCGTGCAGTTCCAGTCGCCCTGGGTCACCCACGGAGAGCCCTGGCCCAAGGGAAGCACCGTCAGACCCTGGAGGAGCTTCCAGTTCGCAGGCCCCTTCGGGCCCTCCTTCACGTCCAGGTAGATCGACGCAACCAAAAGGCCCCCCAGGGAAACCAGTGTTGATCTTGCGGACGACCACGCGGTGGCTGATTTGCTGAATGGGGCTCCTCCAGGGCCACTGGACACGAGGGAACGTGAGGCTGCACAGCGAGTGCGGCTCCGCCTCAGCTCTCAGTCGGCCCAGATCCCGTCGCAGCAGCGCGGCTTAGCTGGACTGCAAGACGATGGCTGCTGCCCCAGCCGTAGGCCCGCTCCTCGGCCGTCTGCACCTTGAGCCTGGTCTCCTGGGTCGCGAAAACCTGGGGCGGGGGAACCTCGCCGCCCACGAGCTGCTTTACCAAACTGTGGCCGCTGTCGGCGTACCAGTCGTGGGGGCCCTCAAAGCTGCTCCACGCGTTCGCATTCAGCCCGGGAAACCAGAAAGTTGCCGTCCTGCCTCGAGCTGTCGTCAGCAGGCCCGACTCCGATCGCCGAGCCCGACGAACCAGGAGCCGCCCCAGTTGAGGAACATGCGGCGCCCTCTGCCCGACACCCTGCGCGGGCTGCCCTGGGGTCGGGGACCCCAGCCGCACAGGGGTCAGGTGAGTCTGTCGGCCGAGAAGGAGTAGCCGAACCCCCCGTCGTCGCACCAGATGAGCTCGCGCGCGTGCCATCACTTTCTTCGTTGGCCTCACCCCCTCGCGGCGCAAGACCCGACGTAGGCTGGCGCAGGGGTTCGGCCGAGGGGTGGCTGATTCTCACAGGCCATGGCTGCAGTCCTCCACGACGTCGACGATTCGCTGGAGGACGATTGGGCAGGCTGCCCAGCACAGGCCACTCCTCGTCAAACGCGCTGACGCTTGGCTGTGTGGGCAGCCAGGAACTCCGCGACGGCGGCTTCAGGGTTCTCTCCTCCCATGGCCCGCTTGAGCCCAGCGTGGAACTCCGAGCCCTCGAAGTCGGCTGCTGTCGGTGGCCGTGGAGCCCGTGCCTGGCCGCTGCCTTCAGCGCCTCCTGCGTCAGCACCAGCAGCGCCAGCAGCGGCGCCGCCGCCAGGGCCCCTGCCGCCCTCAGCAGCCTCGCGCCCAGCCGCCTCCTTGGCCGCGCGCTGCAGCCGCTTGAGGGTCTCGAGCGCCTGCTTCCCTTCAGCGTCGTCAACCGCCGTGGGGTCCAGGTCAGCCATGCCGACACCCACGGGGTCGTCCGCATCTCTGAAGTTGACCTTGGAGCATCTTCGCGTGGTGCTCCAGGTCCTTCCTCGCCTCTGCCAGGGACTCGGTGGCCTCGGCGACCCCCTTGAGGATCTCCTGCTTCTGGATCTCGCACTGCTGGAGCCGCTCCTCAAGCTCCTCGACCTTCCGCGTCGCATTCTCGACCCGATGTCTAGCAGCCAGCGCGGACGGCGGCTTGGACTCGAGCTCCTGGACCTTGGCCTCCTCGGCCTTGGCGATGAGCGCCGAGTCGATGCCGTGGCTCTTGAGAAAGCCGACGACCTGGGCGTAAGAGGGGCCGTCGCCGCCAGCAGCGGGCGAGGGCCGCGTGCCTCCTCCTGCCCCGCCCCCGCCGCCGCTGGCTCCGCCCCTTTTCGAGAGCGCCGCCAGCTGCTGCTTGAGCTCCTTGACCTCCTTGGCCAGCCGCGACTGGTCGCCGCCGCTGGAGCCGCTGCGCCCCTGCTGAGGGCGCACCGTCTTGGCTGCTGCAGCACGGGCGTCCTGCTGGACCCGCACTGGCGCAGCCCCTCCACAACTGCGGCACTTGAGCCTGCTGGCCCAGTTGCCGCTCTCGCCGCACTTGCCACATCCCCAGACCGGATACTTGGGGCCTGGCAGGACCTCTCCATCTGCGCCCATGGACATGGCGCGCGCGCTGAACGTTTGGCTCGAGCCCACGAGCCGCTTCGAAGTACGTGGGCACAAGCTCGAGCTGTTCGCACAATCAGCCCGAGCCGAAACGGCTGTGATTATGATGAGGGGGAGGTGGACGTGGACGAGGAGGATTACCAGGATTTCCGCGATCACAAGAGCGACTAAAACACGACATCGCCTGAACTCGATGAACACCGAGGCCACGAATCCCACCTGTGGGGCCAGCCTCAGAAGCTGGTTGAACATGAACAAACAGTGACACCGTTCAAGGAGCCCCCCCATCATTCAGAAGTTCACCCCTTCCAGGCCAATCCGCCAATCCGCCACGGGCGGAACAAAACAATCGGCACGCACCTTGGCGCGCCGCGCGCAGCATGCACCTTTCACCGAGCGTGCCCCACTTCTCGCAGGGTGCCTGCTCGCAAGCGCCCGAAGAGCACACGCCACTTCGAGGTGAACGCATCCTAGACCCCCGCTGCGGATCCGGGCCGTTTTTGCGAGCAGCTGCTCTGCGATTCGTGGAGAACGCGCTCGCCTCACCTCGGCGTGCCGCGCGTTCTCGCAGTTGCTCTGCGAGTTGTTGCTTTGCGAGTCGTGGAGAACGCGCTCGTCTCACCTCGGCCTGCCGCGCGCTCTCGCACTCGCGGCGGGCGCCCTGCCCCCGGCCTGCGCTTGGCATCGCTCGGACGTGTGCGTTTTTTTTCCTCGGCGAGGACCATCGAGGAGCATCCTTGATCATTTGGCGAAAGAACCGCGCACGAGACCGGAAACAAACACAGGGAATGGACGTCCGAGCGATGGCCAGTGCCACGCGCCCCGCGGCGTGCCTGGCCCTGCCGCAGCCACCCGCGGGGCGCGCCCGTTCCCGCGGGCGGCCGGCACCGCCCCCCCCCCAGAGATGCACGCCGGGGCGGGGAGGCCCTGGCCGCGGGAGGGACGGGTGTGAATCCAGCAGCAGGCACGAGGCTCAGTGTCCTGGGGAAGGGCACGGGGGCGGCGCTCAACCCGAAAGGGTCGAGGTCGCGCCTGTACCTTTCGCAAAGGACAGTAACGACGCCATGTCTGGCATTCCGATGCCAGCATCTCCTCCCATACAGAACGCCATTACTGGCATTCCGAGGCCAAGAATCTGCGTGAGGGGCGCGCCGACATGGGTACGGAAAGAATTTGCACGATGCCCAACAGCAGTTCCTGTTCATCTTGGACAGGGCTCGTTGTCCGCGCCGCCGCGGCCTGTGTCCATTCGAGACAGGAGGCCGCCTGCCCAACAGCGGCCGCTGTTGCTTTGGGACGACATTTGTTGTTGGGCAGTGTACCCATCTTTTCCGTACCCATTTCGGGCGTCCAACAATTGTCTTCTCCACCGGACCCCCACGGGCAAACAGGGGTGATGACACGGTTGCAAATCAGCCCGTAGGGGGACATGCCCGACCTGACCGTATGTAGATGCAGGGCTGGCACCTGCTGAGAAGCGGTCTCCTTCCAAGGAGCCTTCCCCCCTCCCCTTGTGTCACCGAGCGCGTTCCACTATTCGCAAAGTGCCTACTCGCAAACGTTTAAAAAAAAAAACAGCTGCTTGTGTCGATGTAATGTATCGTTGATGTTCCGCGGGGGACCCAGGCCATTTGCGAGTAGCCACTTTGCGAGTAGTGGAACGCGCTCGTATAAGCAGGCACGACGCGCAATGTTCTCTCCCCCTGACCTCCACGGGCAAACAGGGGCGACGACATGGTTGCAAACCGCCGGTCTTCCTGGCACGGGCACCCAGTGGCACAGGTGCCATGAGGAGGAGGAGGAGGTGGAGGAGGAGGACCAGTGGACACCCAAGAGCCATCAACGATGTTGTAAGACACCTTCCCTCCAAGCTCCCTCTGCATAGGCCCCTGCAACGGTTCATTTCCACTGAGCGAACTGTTTCGTTGCAAGACGAAATATTGTAGTGGCCTTCGGCCAGTGCCGCCGATCTGGGGCGCTCCGACTGATGTGATCCTTCTTCGCCCTCGTCCCTCTTCTCTTTTCCCCTCCCCTCCTCTCATTCAGCATTTATCAAAGACGCCTACGGCGAATCACCGCCGCCCCCTGCCTTTTTGGAAACGCCGATGTGGCCGAAAGTTGGATTAGAGCTTGGCCAAGCTATCGGACCATGAGTTCCCCGAGTCGGTTTGGAAAGCTTTCGGGGAACACATGGGAGAGAATGATTATTAACAGGAAGAGGAAGAGGAAGAAATAGAGTAGGAGGATGAGGGTTGTTAGGAGTCTCTTGGGGCACCCTTGGGGTCTGTTGGGGGCTTCTTGGGGGCCTCTTGGAGGCCTCTTGGAGGCATCTTGGGGGCCTCCTTGGGCCTCTTGGGGGCCTTTGGGGGCTTCCTGGGGGTCTCTTGGCCGTCTTAGGGCGTTCCTGGTCCGTCTGACGCCGTCTGGAGCCGTCTTGGGGGCCTCTCTGGGCCGTCTTGGGGCCCTCTTGGGGCGCTTCAGGGCCGTCTTGGAGGCCATGTTGGGCGTCTTGGAGGCCTCTTGG